GAACGTTTTTGCAAAAAACGGGAGAAAATCCTGCATGCGTTGTAACGCAAACAGTTCACTCTTGCAGAATTACGCAAAATTTTTTTTACACAAAATATTGTATTTATTTTGCTCGTGTAACCATATTCTGCATTACTTCACTTAAGTTTTTGCATGCGTTTTTCTGCGTAAAATTTGAAAAAATTTTTTGGTTTTGGCGACATGGGAAGAGTAGTTCATCATAAAACATAAAGATGATCAAGAAAGATAGATATACAGTAACCGGCAATTTGTAATATAGAGAACATAGGCGTAAATATAGGATCTTACTATCAGATATCTGTAAATGAAAAACAATCTTTTAAATGTGAGAAAAGGAAACGATATTATCCAGACATGAAGCTCTAAAATCAATAATTTTAATTGAACATCTATCTGCAAAATAATAAAGGACACTGTAATACTCACTCACCTGTTTTTCAGTATTTTGCGGTTGCCTTATGAAGACATTGATCACTTTAACTTGTATTTTTTGTGCTCGGCTGTCGTGGGTTACATTAACTAACTGTTGTTGCAGCTGATAGTAGAACGAGGTTATTATACTCTAATTTATTAAGTCTACTTCTTACTATGCTTTCCAACACTCCATAGTTTGATCGTGGTACTTGCCCACTAACAATCAATGATAAGGGCAGATTGTAAGTTATTTGAATAATACTACTTTCTCCTAAAAACAAAATAGAATTTTCTTTCACTCACTAAAACTTGTGAGCTAAACTTACGTTGAATGCCATTGATCTCATGCCTTGGTAAATACACAGGAATTAGGGCGATCACGATTACGCCTGCAAATATTAAACCGAGCAGGCTCAAACAGCCCACAGCTAGTAATGCTAGACATATACGTCTAAACCATGAACACGTATGAATCACGAATGGTAGAGAGAAAGAAGGGATATACCTGTTTGATGAAGGAGACAGTGTTTCATTCTCATGTACTGTCTCCATTCGCAATTGTACTTTTTCGAAACCGAAGTACGATTCTGCACTAATACCTATAATAAAGGATATAGGCGGGTACAGCAGAAATTCATCTCACAATCGGATCGCTTTCGGTCCTTCAAGAACAGCCGAAAATGTTTCGCAACGAATAGTCTAATTTACAAAGAATTTTTAAGGCAAGTATCAGAATCTTACTTTTGTCGTTCAAGATGTCTGTCACATTTAAAACGTTTAAAGACGCTCCATTACTTCTTCGCTATTGCTTTTTATATGTTGTCGAGCGGAAAAACGACGAAAAAAATTATTGAAAATGTGAATTTCAATAAACGTTTTCGTGTCATGCAGATCTTCATACACATTTTTCAAAGTGGTTCGTGAGCGCAGAAGTCAATCTAGCAATCCACGTACACAATCAGTACAAAAATTTTAGCAAACATAAAACAGGAGACAAGCATACGATCGACACAATATATTCACACAAATATTGGTGTTCCCAACGAGCCTGATGTAGTATAATATGACTTTGTATTGTAGTGACTAGTGTAGTGAGACTTTGTAAGTGTCTGATGAGCAAGTGTCATGGGAAGCATCGATCCTGGCGAACATCAATCCAGGTCATTATGCGACTCTCAGAAATATCGGGAAAAACATAGTTTTGGGAAGGCACACCACAGGCGTTAACAAGCTCATATCATAATTCCATCAAACCAAGGAAAATATTATTCATAAACGTAGTCTTCTTTAATTTGTATTTTTTCATTTATCGGATAGATATGGGCACCTTAGCGATGAATCACACCACTGATTCTAACACAAAAATAAACAGAGTGTAGTTTCAAGGCTACTTACTTGCGTAAGCTGTAAGGTAATAATAACAGTTGAATATAGTGTTTCTTGGTCTTGTTTAGAATGGTAAGTGATGACGATTGAATGGTTGAAAAATTTATATACGATCAGAAAAACAAGAAATAGAAAGAAAAATATAGTTTACATTATTTTGTGGAGAATAAAGGAGAGAGAGAGAGGCACTGAATTAAAGACTATACAAAAGCAAAAAGAGGAAAATATCGTTCATTGCAATAGTCTTCTGATTTGTATTTTTTCGTTTATCGGGTAGATACGGGTACTTTAGCGATAGATTACATGACACTGTATAGATATTGCATACCATAAAAGACCTTCACTGATCACAGAAAAAATAAAGTATCCTCTCAAGTTGACCTGAACAGATAAGATTGTAGGTGAGTTAAAAATAATGCATTGATTTGAATAATCTAGGATAAAAAGAACGATACGTATTTTGTCTCTGGTATAGGAAAAGAAAATATTTTCTGTATTATTGTGGAGAGCCTTGAAACAAACATCCCATGTGATTAACTATGAGCATTACCTATTGTATGGTCGAGCAGGCAAATTTTCTAAAAAAAAATTTTTCTTTCATGGCTGTTAGTTTCAATTTAGAAATAGTAAGCCTACTCTATCGGTATAATTGCTTATTTCGTAATTACTGTACGGATTTTTTTGGCATTCTAAACTTCAACATGAAATTAATTTTGCGTGTTAGAAAGAAATTAACGGGTGTTCCAGAATAAATCGGTCACTTAGTATTTTGCTTGTATCTCAGTTAGATTTTATCCCACACGCTTATTATTTTTTTTGAAAGATGCGCCGTAAAATTCTCTACAAAATGGTATTTTTTATTCAACGTAAATAATCTCCATCATTTTGCAAAACACGATACATTCGTTTACTAAAATCTTCTACACTTTGCACAACAACTTCCGCTCTAATTTTTTTCACTGCTCGTTTTAATTCGTCAATCAACGTTAGTTTTGTTTTGACTTTACCCCAATTGATTGCCTGAACGAATTCATTCCATAAACAATAATCTAAAAGATTGAAATCCGGACTGTTAGCAGGTCAACGCTCGCGTGGAATAAATGATGGTAAATTATCGCGACACCATTGTTGAGTTTCACTATCTTTATGGGCCGGTGCATTGTCCTGCTGAAATATCCAATCATTACCCATCATCTCGTCACCACATTTCTTAGCCACAGGAAGAACTCGTTCGATATATTTTACATGATCAACCGAACCTTTATCCAAGATCACCAATGTTGTCATACCTTTTGAGCATGCTCCGAGCCAAACCATTACTTTTGTTGGAAACTGATTTTTTTTCTTCACACCACCTCGTTTATCGGCCTCTGTACGATTTATGGCCCATATCCGATCATTTTGCTAATTATAAACACCATCGACATCGAAATACTTTTCGTCCGAAAACAATATTTTCCTCGTGTCCTCTTTTCTGAACGTCCGTTGAATCCATGTAGCAAATTTTTTCCTGTTGACTTTCTGCTGATCTGTTATGGCTGGTTCTTTGACAACTTTGTAAGCATAACATCCGAGATCATCCGTTAATATTCGATGAGCACTGATAGCTGATATGTTCAGTTCGCCCGCCAACTTCCGTACGGATACTCTCTTTTTACGAATTAACCGTTGTTTGACTTTTCTTATAGTTGTTTTTGAACGAACGGTGCGTGGGGTTCCTGGTGGTTTTGATAAATCAATAGAGCCGGTTTCATTAATCATTTTTACTCATCTTTGAATTGTATCAAGTGATAAAGAGCCATTCAGATCACGAAAAATTTTTCGCGGATGATCACCGGATTAATGTTTGCAAAGTACAACATTTCGAAGGTTTTTACTTTCAATTTTGTCAAGGATTTATCTAGAATACATTTAAAGCAAACAAAATACCATTTTGTAGAGAATTTTACGGCGCACCTTTTAAAAAAAATAATAAGCGTGCGGGATAAAATCTAACTGAGATACAAGCAAAATACTAAGTGACCGATTTACTCTGGAACACCCGTTATTTTGCATTTTCTGAGTGGAAACTGCATTGTTTTACTGTTTAAAATCAAAATCTAATTATTTAAACATCTAGTTATTTACATTTTGTAGATCGAACAATTTTGTGCTAGTTAGATATTTAGCTACGTGGTGAATGACTTTCCGCCCATTTTATATATTAAGCATACTTTTGAAGAAGAAATATTAAGTACGCCTTTAGCACTCTGTTTTTGAGTTCAAAATAATATTTCAACAGAAAAATATACGAGAAAATCCTAAACTGAGAATGAATCTAGAATAAAAACATTTTTCGGTTCTCTCATAGCATAGCGCACAATCATAATAATTCTGATGGTGAAGAAGCTAATAATAATCCAGTAATAAATGATCCAATTGATGACAGAACTCAAACTCCACAGCAAAATTCAATTGCTAATGCAGAAGAGAATACGAATAACAATGATGATCTTAGTGCTTTTAATCCAATTTACGATCCTCATAAAAGAATTCGAGAAGAAGATGAAAAGTCTTACTTTTCTAATACTCAGTCTCAACTACTGAAATATATTACAAATTCAGCTAAACTTCAACGGGCATATGTTATCGGCGATATCATTGACTTAAAAATTTCTGATGTTGATAGAACAATTTCTGAGAAAAAGATAGTATTGAAGGGGCGAACCACAGGCATTAACAAGCTCATATCATAATTCCATCAAACCAAGGAAAATATTATTCATAAAAGTAGTCTTCTTTGATTTGTATTTTTTCATTTATCGGATAGATACGGGCAACTTAGCGATGAATCACACCACTGATTCTAACACAAAAATAAACAGAGTGTAGTTTCAAGGCTAACTACTTGCGTAAGCTGTAACGTAACAATAACAGTTGAATATAGTGTCTATAATAGTGTGTTCTTGTTTAGAATGGTAAGTGATGACGGTTGAATGGTTGAAAAATTGCCTTCACTGATCACAAAAAAAATAAAGTATCCTCTCACGTTTACCTGAACAGATAAAATTGTAGGTGAGTTAAGAATAATGCATTGATTTGAATAATCGAGGATAAAAAGAACGATAGGTATTTTGGCTGGAAAAGAAAATATTTTCTGTATTATTGTGGAGAGCCTTGAAACAAACATCCCATGTGATTAACCATGAGGATTACCTACTGTATAGTCGAGCGGACAAATTTTCTAAAAAAAAACATTTTTCTTTCATGGCGATATCATTGACTTAAAAATTTCTAATGTTGATAGAACAATTTCTGAGAAAAAGATAGTATTGGAGGGGCGAACCACAGGCATTAACAAGCTTATATCATAATTCCATCAAACTAAGGAAAATATTATTCATAAAAGTAGTCTTCTTTGATTTGTATTTTTTCAGTTATCGGATAGATATGGGCACCTTAGCGATAGATTACACGACACGGTTTGCGTTATATAAGTGGATAGATATGGACAGCTTAGTAATGTAACTCACTCTGAAAAATCCAAAAATTACGACGAAATATGCGCTGACGTTAAACTCAACGTATCGCCATCAAAAATTGATCGAATTTAGATTTATTATATACCAATCGACTCATCTTTCTAGGCTACATCTAACTATATACGGGTGATGCTATCTATATCACAATAGCTCTATCTGTATTACAATGGCTTTTACAGCCATTGTAATACAGATAGAGCTATAATAACGTTTTCTTTCATCAAAACCCTAAGGATTTCCGTAACTCTAGAAAATCTCCTGATACACGGTCGCCAATGCACCAAGTGTAGGGAAAATATTATATTCATCGACAATCCTCTATCGAATGCACCTCTCTGAATTTTTTCTGTTTAACCTGAATTTTTTGAATGTTTTTTGCTAACGGTAGACTGCCGGTGCAGTTCACTCATATATAGAACTACGCAACATTAACTATGTTACATAATTCTTCATTGTTTTTGCCCATCGATAAAAGCGTGCACGTTTTAAATGACCATCGAGAAATAATTTATTTAGATCACCCGGCGATGCAATTCGCTGACAGAGTACACGCAATGGATTGTCGACATCTTGATGCTTTAAAGCTTCCAGTGATGCGAACATCAGGACTAGTACAATGCATGTCATACAGCTAATAAGAATTATGTGATCAGAATATAGAATAAGATTAGTGCCAAAAAATTTACAACTGCGATAATCAATACAGCAAAAAGACAGACAACAAACGAATAGTGCGATGCCATGTATATATCATGCCTATGATAATCAGTGAATAATAAAGTAGTAAAAATTTAACCCAGAAAAAGTAA